CAATGAGAAGGATAGGGGAAGGCAGGAAAAAATAAATAAATGAAGAAAGAGAAGGAGAGGGGGAGGAAGAGGGGGAGAAAAAGTAAACATTTATATAAATACAGCCCAAGCCGAAAGTAGTCTCCTATGGAGATACCACTGATGAACTCAGATCTCAAAAACTGGTTAAGAGGATAGGAGGAGGGGCCTTGGCCCACAAATGGATGAACAGCAGGCACATACCTGCCTGTAGAAGAGCTGCTGGAGGCCTAAGGCTAGAGGTCAGCTAGGCGGAGAAAACACTGAAGAGGATGAAAGGGACCTTTTAGCTCCTCTGGGTCTGAGGAAGGGGCAGAGGCCTTCTGCTGCTGCCCAGAGGTAACAACGAGAAAAATGCTAAGGCATTTCCTAGTTCTCTCTTATTTCTCTTGTGTGCAACCAGACGCCAGGGAGCTTCAATTAAAAACAGTAAAGCTCACTGTACTAAAAAGCAAGGGCAGAAGCTCATGATAAAAAAAGAGCTGCCATCATCAGTGGTGCCCATTTTATGTCCAACCTATATGTACGCTCTCCTGAAATTCCAACAGTAACTCCGAAAAGTAGGTTTAACTATAACCAGCGACCTCTCTATTCCTCCCTCCCCTCTCCTAACCACACCCCCACTTTTTGTTAGCACTGAGATTTCTCTATGAGGAAAATATGAACATTATTTGAGAAAGACCCTAGTGAATTCCCCAAGGATGAAGTGAGTTAGTTGAAGGTCAGGTAAAGAGGCTCACAAATGATTAGATAACCCAATTTTACTTTCAGAAGACTTAGGTTTGCCTCTGAATATGTCCCTTCTCAGATGAGGGAACTTGGTCACATTATTTAAACTATTTTAACTACAATATTCTTATCTGCAAGATAAAGATGAAAAATATACACCTTATAAGGCAGTCATAAAACTAACTTAGATCTCATGACAGGATACATTATTGATATCAATTAATTTTGCAGGTAGAGAGATAGAAGATTTTTGATCTTGGCCCTATTTTATTCAACATTTTGGGGATGTGGATAAAGATAAAGAGACTCCTTTAGCAGATTTGCAGGAGAAGCAGGACTGGCAGTGAAGATAATACTTTTGATTAGTCTTAAGATATCACATAATTCCAAGGAATGTCAAGGTTAGGACAGCCATAATGATCCTAGCAGGTTGGAATATTGGGCAACATCTACAAGGAAAAAAATTAGCAAGAATGTGTGCTTCTTTAATTACATTAAAAATGTAATTCCACAAAGACAGAATAAGGAAACAGCTCCCTTGAAGGATCGGAGACTGGTTTGACCACCAGCGCACTCTGATTGCACTGTGTGAGGTGGYTGCAGGAAAAGGCCAGGGTGCTGGGTATGGTGGTGCACACCTGGAATCCCAGCTAAGGCAAGAGCATCAAAGTTTCCAGGCCAGCCTCAGCAACTTAGGGAGACCCTGTCTCAAAATAAGAAATTCAAAGAGTTAGGGATGTAGCTCAGTGGTAAAGTGTCCCTAGGTTCAGTCCCTAGTACAAAAATAAATTTTTTTAAAAAGAAAGAAAAGGCAAGAGAATCATAGGTTGTGTCAATAGCAGACAGTCCACAGTGCTCTTCTTGGGCCAGAGCCCATCTGAAGTCATTTGCTTAGTTCTGGAGAGGACAAACAAGATAACGAGGTTTCTATGAGTGACAGGCATTAGGAGAGCCTGGAAAAGAGAAGAATAAGTAGTGGTACCTGTAGAAATAATTATGGTGACACCAACACTGCTATGTCTATACCTACAGAGAGCTTGGACGTCTGTGTTGCGCTAAGTCCCTTAGCTCCCATACTTCCTTCAATCCTCTGGATCTCATGAGTCAGGTGCCATTGTTCACCCCACTTTCCTACTGTCTAAATGAGAAAACAGACTTAGGATCAATGGCTCACTCAAGGTTATACAGCTAGTAAGTGAAGGAGCTTTTATTTGACCTCAGCATTCTTATCTAGAACCGGTACTTTCAGCCAACATGATATTGTGCTGAGCTGGGGATAATACGATAGCTCTAACTTAAAAGGTTTAAAGGACTTTCTTGTGGAAGAGGATCAGAACTTTGCTATGTGCTTTTAAAAGGTAGTGATAGTTCCAGGGAGTACAAACACTGGAAGGGAGATTAAAGCAAAGTTTTAGGAGGAAGAATAACAGATCATGGACTGGGATTTTTCTATCCACTTGCCAAGCAGAAGTTGGATGGCCAACCTTCTCGGTAGTAGTCTTGATGACCCCTGCAAGGTTGCACAATTTTATTAGACTCATGGGCAAGCGTATTAATTAGGACTCATAACCTCAAGCAGCAGGAACCCCAAGTAACTGGGCTAGAATGCATGGGTTTTCTTGGGAGAACAAGGATACAGGCTCTTCTATCACAATGGAGCCAGGAACATGAAACTTGTAGGGTTTTCTCTTTAGTTCTGGCCTCCATCTGGCTTGGTTGATATTTTTTCCTCTTATAGCAAATGAACTTTGACCACGTTATCAAGAAACACGGTCATGGGCAATCTTGTCATGCTTTTTTCCCTCTATTTAATACGTTTAATAGGTTCTGTCACTGGAGATGGACTGCTGCTTTGGTATCAAGATACAACAAAATTAAACTGAAGAAGATTGACAGATTAAGAAGATTAAGAATCTGTGCCCACTATACCACCAGTTGGGGGACAGGGGAATGGGATTAGTTAGAGTGGCCAGTCTCATGGGAATGATATGGATGGATCAAAAAGGAAACAGATGAGGGCTGGGGTTGTGGCTCAGTGGTAGGGCGCTTGCCTCACATGCATGAGGCCCTGGGTTCAATGCTCAGCACCACATAAAAATAAAGACATTGTGATAATATACAACTTTACATAGAGGATTAGGCCTTATCACTGCTCTAATTGACAAACAGGTCTCACATTAAAAAAAAGTTTAAATCAAAACTAGCTTCTCAACAAAACTCTTCATTGGTTTGGCAATTGCTCAGGATGCAGAATCCTAGTCACTTGTTGTGAGCTCATTCTTCTTACTCACACATATATTTTATGTGCTTATCACTATTTTGGACACCATACAGTAATAGAAGTAGTAGAATCATGATCCCAATCCCTCAAAATTCTTACCTCCTATTCTCTATGCTTGGAATATTCTTCATCTCACTCCTGTCTCCTGCGGTATATTCTCCTTCTGTTTAATTACTGTTCTTTTCTTTCTTTCTTTTCTTTTCTTTTTCTTTTTTTTTTTTTTTTARGATATCAGACTTCCCTGATTAGTCTGGATTAAAACACTTTGCTGCATGCTCCTGTAACATTCTGGGGGCTTCATGTTAGGGGAGTTATGACCTTTGTAATGTTTTTCCCAGTGTTTTTCTTTGGTAGAATAAGAGCCCCATGAAGGCAAGATTATCTTTATTTTGTTCACCATTGTGCCTGGAATGATAGTGACTCAAAAAAGAGAGGGATTAAAGCAGCTTTCATTTGATAGATGTGTTTGAGTATCTATGTGTTAAGCATTGTTTTTGGCACTGAGGATACAAAATAGGAGAAAAAAATAGACACGGTCTGTGGCTGAGGGGGCTTATGTGTTAGTCAAAGTGTCGGTTTAATGATGGAAGAACAGCTCACTCAAACTTCTTATTTCCCAGGCAAGGAAATGAATGCCAGAAAGCTTAAGTGACCTGAGTCCAGCCACATGGAAAATTTGAGTGGTACTGATTTTTTGTTTGTTCAGTTATTTTTAAAATGTTTCTTTCATACTAGTTTTCAATAACATTTCAAAAATCAAAGGCAGGTGTAGGAACTTGTTTATTCAGTCTGTGAATACTGGCAGGTCACTGAGGGCATCATAAGGTGACTGAGATAAACATGTAGAACACATGATTTTTATGAGCACACAAATCCTTTTAAAGGTTAAGCCTGAAACAGGAAGATACCTTTGGTGATTTCTTACCCAACTGTGTTCTATCCTATATGAGAGTGACCATTATGTCCTTTGCTGTTTCTTGTGGAACCTTGGCAACTAGAGTCTCCAGGAAAGGGAAGGTGTTGACATCAGGGCAGCCATGTTGTTAAAGCATAGTCAGGAGCTGTGCTGAGCTGGGAGTTGCAAAACAGACTAACATGAATTTTCACTTGAGAAAGTGAAAGGGCATAAGACAGGAAAGGGGAGTTTGGTAATAGGAGTTTTCAAATAGCAAAGAAGTAGCTCACTTGAATAGAGGATGTATATTGAATAATGAAAAGTATTATAGGATGGGTGGGGGACTGGAGTAGAATTGAGTCCTTGGAAATACAGGAAATGATTGTTTTCAAGAATGGAGAGCTGGTTAAATTTAGATTTGAATTAATAATTAAATGTGGATTCAAACTACCTCTTAAGTTCAGATCTTGAAGAGGAGTCTATGGAAATTGCTGGGATCCTTTTTCCTAGTTTGAGGAACTACCCTCAAAAGTTGTGGGGGAGACTCTGTCACCTATTTATTTACACTCACACAACTAGAAGCCAGTCTCTGGACAGGTTGTTTTCTCAGGTTACCACTCTTATCTTTTCAATTAACCAGGCACCTGACCCATAGCTGAACTGACTCTTACAAACTCAAAAGCTTAAAGACAATGGCCACCTCTGCCATCTTTACCCAGGGAACTGCATGGTTCCTTGTGACTCTGCTATCAGTGTCTGGCAGGACTGACTCAGAAATCTCAGTTTGCTCATCAAATTTAGAAGTTGCTGAGTCATTTAATCAGAAAGCTCCTCAATCCAATAACAATCTTTCTAAAAAATAGCAACTTTTAATGATGTGAGCCAAGATCCTTTGGGATTTTGAAGAAAAGATATACTCTTCTGAGAGCTATTTGCTAAAACTGGCCCACTTTGGTCATGGACACGAGGGAAGGTAATGTTGTTGTCTTGAATGAGAGGCAGGTTTGGGGCCGAGCTGCAGAAGGCTTGGGGAGGTGTGGAGAGAAGAGGGTCAGAGAATGCACGGTTGTACAACATCTGTAAAGAAAATGTTTTATTTAAAGTGTTAAATACCATCACCAGAATGAATTTGATTTACATTAGTTGGTGTTTGTTACAGGACTAATCTGCCCTTTTTTTCCCCCAACTGGAATTCCCTTTACTTTAAAACATACTATGTACAGGGCAGCAATGATCACTGGCAGAGTGCTATTTACATGACTAAACCACGAGTTGAGGTGCAGACATGTGGAAATTAAAAACAAAAACAAAAACACCAACTTTTAAATAAATACTGCATAATGACACGTATGTACAAATATTCCATACAGTCATATCCTTCTTATTAAAATTAGAAATAATTTTTATAGGAATATGCACAAAAGATTATGTGAGTGCATCTTAGTATCAGGAAAATGGTAAACGTTTAATCTAAGGGATAGTATAGACACTATAGGTCTATTAAACCAATTGTTGCTGGTACACAGGTGTCTAAATTATTTCAATAAAGTTTTATTCATTCTTTTAACAACTTTACCTGGGTCCATCATAGATCTCCAAATATCAAGACACAGTCTCGGTGTATTTCATATTGCACCACATAATGAGAAGGCATTTTTAGTGATACTCATTTTAACTTTTGCACCATATCAAGCATGATAGTTTGTAATGGTCAGCACTGGATTAAAAAAAAAAAAGAAGAGGAAGAAAAGAATTTTTGTGCATGGTCTTCATTTCAACAAATGGGAGGTATGTGGATTTCAAAAGTTATTGCAAGAAATTAAAACCAATCTATAAGAATGTACTATCAAAATGTACATAAGAACCAGAAAGTATGGGTGGTTTATACATTATCCAGTGACTTTTCCTCAAAATAGGGGAACTTAAGAGAAATCTGACCTTGCAGCACCACCCAATGGTAATAACTCTCTGTGAAACCAAAGGCAGGGGTTTCGACTTTAAAGAAATTGCCTGAAGACTTTTGGTGATGGCATCAAAGAACTATTAATAGGCATATTGACTTTCTTGGAGTCACCTAAAAATTGGAGCTTTAAAATTGTTGCAAATTTATGTTTACTATATTTCTTTAGAAATATAATTTGTGAAAAATTGAATTTTACTACAGAAAAATGAATTAATAAACAGCCCTGTGTTTCAGGGCTTCAAATTTTTAGCAGTGTTTCTATTCACATAGTAAATGGAAATTGGCTAAAGAAACTGCTTTAACTAATTAAAAAACAAACAAAACCTAAGACCTTCTACAAATAATACTTTAACCCCTGTATGAATAATGCTGGTGCTAAAAACAAATTTATTAGACATTACAATGGCCACATGATTTTAGGATTTTCCTGTAAACTGAATTTTGAAGGTGAAAAAAAAATTACCATGCACTGTACAATAAATTGCAAAAGTTCTTTGTCAAATACATGCTGACTTACTTTAATGTACTCCCAAGTCATGTTGCAAAATCCTTTTCAACATGCTTGAAATAAAGAAAGCTCTTAAATAGATTTTCCCTTGAGAAATTCATAAATTCAGAAGCATCTATAGCTCTGAATCAAACATGGGTTATAAGAGAGGATCAGATCAAAAAGTTGTAATTTTTTAGAATAAGGTTCACTCTGGGAGAACAAAAATAAAATATTAAAAGAGGGAGAAGAGGAAAAGTAAGACAGAGAAGAGAAAGATGTGAAAAATTTGCACATATTGAACTCCATAAGATCTGTATATTTAACATGGAAATAAATTGAATATATTATACTTATTTGTCACATAAAGAGAATTTTACGCATCTTCTAGAAAGAATTTTCATTTGTAATGTCTGCCAAAACACAGACTATGATTAGCTTAAAGAATAAACATGGTGTGTCTTGTATCACCCTGTTGCATTCTCTCCCCTTTTTAAAACCATGCACTAGTGAAATTTATTTTTAAAAATAATATAAATTGTTGAAAATGGCTGATTTTTATTTATTTTTCTTTTTTTGCAAGTTGCAGCCCCAAGAAAATAATTTAAGTAATCAGCTAATCTGTGTCCATGCAAAAAAAGTTTCTTTAATTTCATTCAGTACAGTGTAGCCACAGAACTTTGTTTTTCAGAGTCCAACACATCTTGGCATTAGTGAATGACATGCGGCTGGAGCTACTGAGTTGGCCACTCTTCCTGCTGGACCCTGTCCAGGGGAGGGCTGACACTTTGTTCCCGACCACTTCTTTGGTGTCTTGCTTTACACCTGATGCTTCTAAGGACTTCTTTGCTCCTTGACCTGTAACATGGCTCAGAGGCTGTATAGCTCTATTTCTGTGGCATAATGGGGCTTTGGGGTCAGATAAATGAAGAAAAAGGAACAATAAAAATATAAAGGTGCCATTGAAAAGGGCTTTTGTTGCATGAAACTGACTGATTCTTTGAGATAAATCCATGGCTTCAGATTGGACCACAACTCCAGTGTGGCTGAACTCCAAACCTCTCAGTTCTTCATAGCTCTGTCCTTTCACCTGAGGGCCTTCCTTAGGGCACAATGTGTGCAACTTCCTCTGAGAACACAGGATCGCTCTGTATCCCTAGAAACGGGCTCAGAAGACACAACATTAAGCATGCAGTGTTACCAGGGTTTGCGACCTGTGGATTTTTTTCTTTTTTTTTTTTTTTCCTTTTGTAACGCTGGTTGCTGTGACAACAGTTTTACAGCTGCTATGAACGAGAGTAAGAAGGTCCGGTTGAACTTTCCAGAGATGATTGGGAAGCTCTTCTGGTCAGAGGGGCCAAGGTTGGATCTACTAGGGAGGAAGGGGGGAAGAGTTTGAACCATCCAATCACCATATTGGATAGTTCCAGTTCATCTAAAAGAATCTGGGCCACGCCCATAAAGGATTTGTGATCCATGCGGCCATAATCTCCCCAGACAATGATCTGTTGGCGAAATAAAAAGTAATGTCAGAGTAATCAAGTACATAACAAAACCTTGTAAAATACATTAAAATACTAAAATGCAATCAGTTAATGTTCTGACATCAAAGATTAAAAGAAACCATTGTATTTGATTAATGGGATAGTTGTCTTTAACTACAAGGATACAAGTTCCATTAAGAAAACTGTGCTGGAGGTTAGGATCATAAGCAGTCAGGGAGACTGGCTGATGGTGACCGGGCTTTGCACGCTTCTGATTCACTTCAAAGGGAACATCAACGTGCATAGCTTTATGGCATGGGCTATTGCTTTGAAATTTTCAAACAATTTGAGCTGTGTGGAACATAAAAGAGGGAATAGAAAAGATACAGGATAAAAGGTCTGACTCTGTGAAATGCTTTCTTATTTAAGGGATCAATGACTTAGTAAATACCTGTAAAACTTTTCCTTGAGGACTCTCTTCAAAAGATAACAGCTGCTGGTAAAGGGGCTCCAGCGTTTTTCTTGCCACTTTTGTTTTCTTCTTGGCTATGCAGACTCCATTATCTAATAGGTACACCTTTACGTAGGGTGCTGGGAAAGCAAACATAGAGGTGATGAGCCATGAACTGTGGCTGTGGCATACCTGACACAGGTGTCACCTGCAAGAACTGAAAAGGCTGGCAGAGATCCAAAGCCACTGGCCTTGCAACCCTGGGTCAAAATCATTAGATAAACAACGGATAACTGTCTGGCATTTAGAGAGGTTAGGGGATGTTGACACAGCCTGAGCATTTTTTTTCTTTTTCTTCAAATTATTTTGGTATCAACTAACTATGTAAATTTAAACATGGCATTAAATAAGGTGAGATGCTTCCAGTTCCTATCAATATTCAAGAGTGATGTCTTAGTCTTTAATTTACCAATACTTAAATTTAGTTAAAGATGCTTAAAATTCTTGTTTTACTCATCTACCTTCACAAATCACTTCTCGCCCAGAGGCATTTATTTTTTGCTGGTGTGTGAAGGTACAGAATGGGTGGGGTTTGAGATGATGTGTTTAGTTAGGAAGAGGCAGCTAATTGTGAATTCTATGGCTTAAAATTTATCTGACAAACATTTCATAAAATTATGCTCAATTATGTAAAAGTCACGATATTCTTTATGGCATAGTGAGTTGACAAGCTCTAAGACCTTTACAAACACCATCATTTTAATCATCATTACAAGGTTGTACATAGGGAATATATACTACATTTAAAAATTTCTGTAAGGATAGAGAAGTTAAGAGATTCAAAACACAAATCAGTCAGTGGAGGTGCTGAGGCTGGAATGCAAGTTTCAAATCCTTAGCAATTGTTTTATACTTCTGATTGAATGACCTCTGCACGATGTTTGTGGAGTCACTGAGCCATTTCCCATGGTTTCAAACACCTTAAATTATGACATTTCGGTATGAAGTATATGGCGTAAAGTTATAACAGTGTCTCTCTTTCTTAATATACAACAGGAAATCATACCTTAGAATATCCAGGATACATAGGATGATGCTACTATGGGGGCCTGTACCTATTTTTATTCTAATTCCAGAACACTAAGGATACTGAAGGAGAATTTTGAAGCTCCATTTAAACTAAAGAATAACATGGAACACCAGGTAGCAAAAAATCCGAACTTTGAATATACAAGTTGTGACAAAATGAATTATTTAAGGGTAGTGGTTTACATTTTGCAGTGGTTTCTAGTTATATATGTACTTATTTAACAACTTGTATATCATCTCATCAGATCAACCTATTGAACACTCTTTCAGGATGTACATACAGACTGCAATAGCCCCAAACCAGTCAGAGAATTGACTTACCTATCAGTATCTTTGATTAACTAATAACTAAGTTTTTGGCAATAAAAACAAAGCCTCTACATTGAGAAACAATGGATTATGGGTAATAATAGAAGAATCTTTTCTGGTTTTACCTGGCAGTGTCTTGGAACCTGGTTTTACAACAAGGCCACGGGCCCGAATGATTTCCACCTCCAATTGTCCCTTTTTGTCCATCATTCCTATCTGAATATCACCTAATAGTGCATGGAAAAGAAATAGACACACCTTACTGTACAAACATGGAAAGAAATGCTTTGCCAAAGATCTTGGCTTAACATCATTTCATCATTTCCCATATATTTTCTTAAACTAAAAAACATTTAATATTTTATCAATGTCTTCCTTTAAAAATCAAAAGAAATTATAATAGAAAAAAAGAAAGCTTTTTTGTGTTAAAATACAAGATAATTTATCCCTACTGATAATACTGTCAAAGACTCTATGAAATTGAGAGAAAGCAATTTTCAATAATCTAAAAGAAGAGCAATGGAATCATGAGGCAGAAATTCTTACCCATTGCAGGAGTAGCTAAAGTCTGGCGTCCCACTAGCTGAGCAGGACCAAGGCCATCAAGGAAATCACTAAACTGGCTATCGGAGGCCAAGCGGACACCAGGGAAAATCAGACTGAAGGCAAAATAACAAAAAGAATTAATTCCTCAACCTCAACTTGCTCTCAGGACCCTCCAGCTCCCTCAACATGGCGGGATACTTGGCAACATCACTTTGGTGTATATTTATTATATCCCAACACGCTACTCCACCTCCATAGCTCTTGCTCTGTATTCTCCAGATGCCCACGTGTGCCACCAGAAACTCTTGTTGCCTATATTGCAGGTTCCTGTTCCTGTGTCTTTCTCTCCCTTGGTGTGGAGGGCTGGGGCTGTGATTTCTGTCACAGATGCTCAGTACATGTCAAGCATGTATTCCACTACAGGCTTTACCATATTAATCTTCTTGGCTGAACTGAATTGTATTACTTATCACCTTTTATAGATGAGGAAACACTTCCGGGTCATTCCTATCAACATGTAAAACAACATGGTATTGTTTTTTCCATTTTACAAGAAGAAAAGAAAATATCTTCCCTGACTCCATTTTGTTCTCTTGCTATTACCCCATTTCTTTATTGAAACTCCTTGACAAAGTTGTCATTATGTGCTGTCTTCACTTTCTTTTCTTTCATTCACTTTTGAGACTCTATCTGTTGTTCATTTTCATCACTCCACCAAAACTGGATCAAAGTCACTGCAGTGGTAATTCCAGCTGTTAACACTCAGGCCTCTTTTAATTTAATGGAGTAGCAAGCTGAACACAACTGAAACACCCCTTCCTTGAAACACTATCTCTACTTAGCTTCCTGAGTCTCTAGGCTCCTGGTTTTCCTCTTTCTCACCTGTCACTCTAATCTTCTTTGCTACTGCTGTTACCAAACCCTAGAGCTCAAATCTTTCACCTCTTTTCTATATGTTTTAATTCCCTTGGTGGCTTCATCCAGTCTCATGGTTTTATTTTATTTCATTATTGTTATATATATTTTTTAGTTGTAGTTAGACACAATACCTTTATTTTATTTATTTATTTTTATGTGGTGTTGAGGATCCAACACAGTGCCTTACACGTGCTATGCAAGCACTCTACCCCTGAGGCACAACCCCAGCCCCCAGTCTCATGGTTTGAAATGCTCTTTATGCTACTATTGCCTACACTGACATCTCCACTGTGGACCTCTCAAGACACAGACCTGTATCCCAGATGCTTAGATTACCTATCTTCTGGGATGTCTAATACATACTTGAGACTGAATTTGTCCAAACTAACATCCCCAAGCCCCTTCAAAGAAATAGAAAAACTAAAGTCTAGTCCTCTCAGAGGATTCCCATTTTAATAAATGGCAGCTTCATTCTTTCAATTGCTCAGCTATGTACTCATCTTTTTTTCTTGTTCTCTGTATGGGATTGAGTCACCAATGTGACTGCAGATTGAGTCTTTAAAAGAATTAAGATAAAATGAGGTGATAAAGATAAGGCCCTAATCCAATATGACTTAGAAGAAAAGGAATAGACACCAGGGTATGAGAGAAAAGGCCATGAGAAGATACAAGGTGGCCAGTTGAAAACCAATAAGAAAGACCTCAGGAGAAACCAAACCTGTTGACACCTTGATCTTGATCTTGTTATGGCAGCTCTAGGAAACTAATATTCTCTATTTCATTATCCATATCAAATGCATCAATAAATCTTATTTGTTCACTGTCAAAACAAATCTAGAATCTGAACTCAATGATACTGCTATTCTGGTCCAAGCCACAATTATCTCTCTTCTGTTTTCAGCAGGAGCCTTCTGAATGGGCTCTCTGTTGCTGCCCCTGCTGTCAGACCAATGTACTCAAACTGAAGTCAGATAATGTCCCCTGCTCAAAATGCTCCAATGATTTCTCACCTGAGTCAGGGTAAAAACAAAGTCCTTATTATACAAAGATGATACAAGCTGTCTAAACCTCACCCCACCCCCAACCTTAATTCCTCATCTGTTACACTCTGGTCCTCACTTACAGTAATGCCCTCCCCTCTGCTGATGCCAGGCAAGCTCCAGTCCAGGCCTCAGCATTGTTGCAACCTTGAAGATTCTCCCCTCAAATATCCACCTACTCACTAACTTCCTCTCAATGTGTCCTTTTCCTTGTCTACCCTGCTAAAATCCTACCTTGACCCTTTCTCGTTTCTCATTCTAGCTTTATTTTTCTCCTTAACACTTACATTACCTAATCTACTATGCATTTTATCATTTTTCTTGCACATAAATTTTAACAATTTTTCTTAATGTCTCTCTATTAGACTGAGTTTGATGAGGGTAGGGGTTTTTGTCTGTTTTGTTCACTGTTGTATCTCACCTCCTGGAACAATGCCTATAATATTTTAAGCACTCAAAATATACTTGCTAAGCTCAATTGGTAAAAATACAGCTTAGAAAAATTAAATAACTTGCTCAAGGTTCTGTAGTGCCAAAACACCAGATGAGAACTCCATCTGATATGATGCCAAAGCCCCTGGTCTTAACCACTGATACTGACTCACTCTCACACATGACTTATGCCCCCAGCTGGCAGCACAGTGTCTAGAGAAACAGAAGGTAAGATGTGTTGAATGAGTTTACAAGTATTCATCCCATTTCTCCAATAAGACTATAAACATCAGGAGCAGGGAACACAGCTTAAATATTTTATATCCCTTATAGTATATAATGCAGGGCTTTATAAATATTAGTGCTCAGTAAGCATCTGTTTTTCACTTGATTCTCTATTTTTAAGAATTTTTCTTGATGGACATCAAATATATTTCTTTTTTCTTCACCTCAGTTAATACAAATGTTTTAGTCTGTTTATATAAGTATCTCATATAACCCTATTAATACATTTTTATGTAAGCCATACATCTCTCTTGTATTTATGTAATCATGCTAGACAAATTACCCCTAGGAGACATCAGTAAGACTATGCCAGCAGATCCTATGGCCTCAAAACTGTGAACATGGAACATCTAAGCATCTATGGTGATGGTTCAGTGAGGTCAGTAAATCCACTTCCCTCTATTAATGTCCTTTACATTCCCATTTACAGAGCTGTAGCTGTAAATTACTGTTATTTTGTTGGTGACAGGGCTTTACAATCAAAGGGAAACTACATATGACTAAAAAAAGACTCATCAAGTTTTCCAGTGCCATTTTTTTTGCTATTATATTTCACATAACTTAGTGTCATACAAATTAATTTTATATAGCTAAGTTATATGAAATATAGTCATTATTGCATCAAACTAAGTATACATCAGGAGTGCATATTTTTTGGTAATAACTCAGTGCTATGATTTTTTAAAATTAGCACTGTCCATATAGCATGGCATGAATGCTTATTATTTTTGTACTTTTATATATTATTTCAAGCCAGGGCAAAATATTTTATTTGCGTGCAATGTGAGAGCCACATTTTAGCATCTTGTCATTAAAGCAAAACACTTTATCCCCGAACCTATTTCCTTTGGTATAAAAAGCCAGATATGTTGCATTGCTCAGTAGCTGGTAAGCAAAATTCTATTCACAGAAAATCAGCCAATGAAAATTAAAATGGAACAGCAGAGTGTGTGAGTTTGCTTTAGTGAAAGCAGAGGGTGGGACAGAGAAGATGGTCTCTGGGCAGCACTGAGGAGACTGGCCTCACTCACTTTCCTTCTGAGCTATAGCTGTTCATGCTGCCATCAGTGGATTCCCGGCTTGCCTGTCGGGTCATCCAGTTCCTCATCTCCACCGCCAGACCTGTTTCTGTACTCCTCTGGACAGTGCTCCGTAGCTTTTTACCTCCTGCTTCTGCAAAAACAGAAATCATATGGTATCACAGCCTGGCAACAAAAATCCTCACTGTCTGGCAAGAGTAAGTATCGGCCAACCGCATGTACAGGAAGTGTTCCTACTGAGAAGACAGAGAGAAAAGGTATTTAGAATGATTTTAAACAACATCTTATTTTATGAGATCAAAATCTTTAAGCAGCACAAATACCATTGTTTTACTTCCATTTAAAACAGTGTTCAAATTTAACATAAAGATTCAACCCACAGATAGAATAAACTTTGTTCTTGTTGTAATATTTAAAGGCCAAGTTAGTTTATGCCTACCTTCCTCCCCACTTCCTTTGTGTTCTGGTAAAGAACTGAGCCTTCAAATTACTTACAAAGAGCTGATGGTGAGACAATACTCAAATTCTAGCCTTAACTTTCACAAGAATACCTGGTTTTCTAGGGTGATAGATATCAGAAGTGAAAGCTAACAAAGGAGAGAGCCCTGTTTGATAGCAGTTTCATATATGTTGGTAACTTTCATAAAGATTCTCAAAGGGGAATGTAAAAGCTCAGCAATATCATGAGAAAACAGCTTTGAAATTTTTGGTCATGTTCTTAAGGATTTTTGGTGATGAAGCTGACATTCAGAAGCACATCAGAAGACCAGTCAGGAGACTGAGTCAAGTACTACAGATGTCACAGAGGGAGGAAGTGCTGTCTGGAGATGTCAGGGAGGGAGAGGGAGTGGGGTTGGAACCCAGGATTGAAAAGTAGACAGGTTAGAACTCAAGCAAAGAGAGAAGAGAATGCTGAGGGAGGGGAACACATGGGCAAAGATGCAAAGTCAGGGATGATCACGTGCACCCGAGGAGGTGCCAAAGCACATGAAGGAGGAATGAGGAGTGAGGTAGACAAGAAACTGAGTAAAAAATTCTACAGGCCTTAATGTTTGAATATGCAGTTGAAAGACGACCAAAGCAAGAAGGTGACACTCTAAACTATTTATATTCATTTCTTTCTTGTCCAGTCTAAATATTGACTCTGTTATTAGCTTTTTAGGATACAACCACATGGCAAGCTCTTTTAGTGGCTTACCACTAGTAAGTTCTTTTAGATCTATAAATGCTATTAGTGCCAGTGACTTGTTGAAATCTCTTTCACCAAGTTTCTTGTATTTGCTCACCACTTTGAAACACTGCTTTAAATTTCATCCATTCTCCACTGCCAATTTTAATGTACATTAACATGCTTTAATGAGCATTTACACAAAATCTAAGTTATGTTTATCTATGACTCAGTTGCATAACCTAATGATATTTTAGATAATTGATACCAAACATGTTGTACTGATATGAACTGTAAAAATACATAAAGCATCCCCCCTTGACTAGGGAAGGCTCTTATTTACAGAGGAATTAGTAAATGTAAGAAGAATGATAAATTTAAAAATTACCAATTTGCTACCTTAAGTGAGATTCATCAATGGAGCTAATGCCATTTGATGAAAGATTGGGAAAAGGATATATATATATATATATATATATATATATATATATATATATTTGCTCACCACTTTGAAACACACACACACACACACACACACATATATATATATATATATATATATATATATATATGCACCAAAGAATCATACCATAAATGAGTTCTAATTGTTAAAGCAAAAGAAAAAAGATACATTAACTGGGAAGATCTGTCTATTCTGTCTTAATTCATAAAAATTAGTAGTGCTACAATATATCCCTCCTTATACAAAATACACAGTATCACTTGTCAGGTTGTTGTAAACAAAATATACAAACTGTTTCCAGTCAAGTCTTTAGGACCAACTTTGAGTTTTCAAAAATACAGAGTAATACACCAGGCATGGTGGTGCACGCCTGTAATCCCAGTGGTTCGGGAGCTCAGGCAAGAGTTCAATTCCCAGTACCAATAAATAAATAAATAAAATAAAACAATGTAGTATAAATATGATAATAGACATGCATACAACATCAAATCCAGAACACAGGATACAGTTCAAGAGAATTTGCATGCTTGCTTAAAAAGTTAGCATGATGAAAAATCCAAACTTGATGAGGGAGTTTTTCTAGTTTAAAGACATCAAAGGGTGTAACCATCAAATGCTGTGAGTATATTTTGACTTCTTATTTGGAAAAAATAAGACAAAACAAATAAGAAACCCAACAAATAAAACAGTATAAAAGTAAGACAAGTAGGAAATAAAGCACAAGAAGTAAAATCAAGAATCATTAAAAGGGATAGATTCAAACTAAAAAGCTTCTTCTCAGCAAAGGAAACAATAACATGAAGAGAGAGCCTACAGAATAGGAAAAAATCTTTACCACACACACTTCGGATAGAGCACTAATATCCAGGATATATTAAAGAACTCAAAAAACTTAATACCAGAAAAAAACAACAACAACCCAATCAATAAATGAGCTAAGGAACTTAACAGACACTTCACAGAAGAAACAATCAATCAACAAACATATGGGGAAAAATGTTCATTATCTTTAGCAATTAGAGAAAAGCAAATCATCTCACTCCAGTCAGAATGGCAATTATCAAGAATACAAGCAATAATTTGTGTTGTCCAGGATGTGGGGGGAAAAAGGTACACTCTACATTGCTGGTGGGAATGCAAATTGGTGCAACCAATCTGGAAAGCAGTATGGAGATTCCTCAGAAAACTCAGAATGGAACCACCTTTTGACCCAGCTATCCCACTTCTTGGTTTATACCCAAAGGACTTAATCAGTATACTACAGTGATACAGCCACATCAAATGTTTATAGCAGCTTAATTCACAGTAGCTAAACTATGGAACCAACCTAGATGCCCTTCAACAGATGAAAGAATAGAGAAAATGTGGTATATATACAATATGGAATATTACTCAGCCTTAAATAAGAATGAAATTATGGCATTTTCAGGTAAATGGATGGAACTAGAGAATATCATGCTAAGTGAAATAAGCTAATCCCCCCAAAGCCAAAGGCAGAATGTTTTCTTTGGTCAACTGATGATGATCCATAGTTGGGGCAGAGGAGGGAAGAATGAGGGAACTTTGGATTGTGCAGAGGGGAGTGCTGTGGGGATGGGAAGGATGGTAGAATGAGACAGACATTATTACCCTATATACATATATGATTACACTACTGGTGTGACTCTGTACCATGTTCAGCCAGAAGAAGGAGAACTTGTGCTTCATTTGTGTACAATGTATGAAAATACACTCTACTGTCATATATAATTAATTAGAACAAAATTTTAAAAGTACATTAAAAAATAAATTAAAAAGTAGGAAAAATGTGAATATGGATTAAATGTTAGATGGAGTTAGAAAATTACTAATTTTTTAGATGAAGAATAGAATATTAGTTATTTAGACCTGAAATCTTATATTGTCTTCAATTTACCTTTGAATGGTGAAGCAATAAATAAATAAATAAATAAGAAAAAATACATATATATAAAACAAAGATGGAAACTGTTAGAAAAGGTTGAGAATGCAGATTAGACTATAGTACTCATGAATTTAATATTTATAGCTTTATTTCAAAGTGATTCTCAAATGATGACATCAGATAGTAGTAAAATTTTGCACAGGTGTGAACTGGAATCACAGAGCTGCTAGGCCAAGGATACAGCATTTGCTTTTCTTTGTAGCTTTAATGTTTATAGGAAGTAAACAATGCCTTTGTGAAAACTGCCATGGAGTGAGATACTTGAGTGAAGTATGAATGGGTGGAAGAAAGGAGGATACCTACAGGAAGCACCTGACAGAAGGGAAATGAGGTTCCTGCAGATCTCTGCAATGCCAAAGATCTACTCCTTTTTATTTAATGTCTCCCTCTATCAAGCAAAAACAGTGAATTGAAAATCTACTGTTATTGGGTAATGAGAGCCAGCCACTACTTACCAAAGAATAGTAATACAATGAATATGTAATTATTTTGTTTTGGGGCTGTTTTATTCATGTATCCTCTTCATAACAATTCGAAAAATGCTCATTCTTACAGATGTATTATCAAAGGGCCCAGGAGATTATATAGTTTCCTGAAGAAACATGGTAAAGGACAGAACCAGAATTTGTGCAGAGTTGCTAGACTTCAAATTCCCTGCCATTTGTTAATTTGTTGTCAGAAAACACAGGTTTGTGTGGCTGTCCTTGGACGATACTATGCTAACTCTGTAGCAGCATGCAGCTTTAGATGCAGCCTGGTGGGATGGGAAGAGCAGAGCAAAGTGAAGTCAGTCAGATCTTGGAATCAAACTGCTTCTCTAACATTTACAAGCTGGGTGACATTATTGAAGGAGTTACCCTCTCAGAGACATGTTTTTTTCCAAACTATGAAATGATAGTGATAATAATTCATATCTCATAGAATTTTTGTGGGGTTTGAGGAAAATAAATATTTAGGGTTCTTAGCAGGGCACCTGATACTTAGAAATTCTGACTTAAACTAATGGCATTATTTCTACTATTACCAGACAGGGAATTAGAAAACATGTATGTATTCTAGGTCGGTCTTATCCATTAGTTAACTGGCTCATTGGCCTTCTTGGAGTCACATTCCCTCTCTGAGTCTCTGGCTTGTCGTATTTATGAAAAAGGCAGATGGAAGAGGACGGGTGATCTCTGATATCTTTTGGCTCTAACGTCTATGAATTTGACGTTATTAATTGACCACAATTAAAAGCATACATCGAAGACATATGCTGCTCACTGTTATCTGATAGAATCAAAGAATTCTTGCTAATATACTATTTACAGTACACTGTTTCTAGTATCCCTTTAAAACTTATCTTTTGAAGGGTTCCACTACCTGAAACATTTATAGACTTATTTAAAAAGTAAATTTTTCAGCACCACAAAAATCTTTGTGTTACATTCACAATGAAAATACTTCAATCTAAATATAATGCATTATAGTGATTCACATTTAATATTCCCAATGATTTATCACATTATGAAATCTAAAAGCTGAATCTATATAACAGTG